CTATAAACGATCCTGTTTAAATAAACACTGCAATACTACAAATAATACTTCCACTCTATATGAGTGACTTCCATTCAAATATGAAAAAACTAGAAAATTATTTTCTTGTATAAAACCTCACATGTTAAATATAAAAAGAGAAGATTTAATTATGTTGAAATCCAGTGTGTGTAAATATCACAAAAGGATTCTTTATTTAATAATTTATGCTGCCTTTTAGGTGTTCAACATACACGCAGTGGCAAAGGCTCACCCCTTAACAAATTTTAGTCAGGCTCCTCTGATCCCTCTTTACAACGCTCCTGTGTGGATCTTGTCTTCAAGCCTCCTAGCCCAGTTGTAGCAAGAATCCTGCTAACTCAGTTTAGTGAGAATCCCCCTACCCTTGACAAAAATTACAGAAGAGTATATAACAAAACTTATGTCATCCCTCTCCCACTTCTGATTAAGAGTTATCTCTCTAGACTATCAATAAATGCATGCACATGTGTATGTATGTCTGCATATGTATCATTTAAAAACACACATGGGTTCCTATTATTGAGAAATATTTGGATTTTCATTTTTTGCTATATAAACAATACCACATATATGCACACACATATATACACATTTTCAAATCTGTTCAAGCTTACTTGTAAAATAAATTCTTAGCAATAAAACTGGTGTATTAAGGATTATGTGCCTTATAATTTTGATACATGTTGTCAAATTGCCCTAAAAAATGGCTGTACCAATTTTCATCCCTACCCAAAGTGTATATATGCAAAATTTAAGTTTTACTAAAATTAACAAATGTACATAATGGATAAATAATATAAATTCCATAAGAGTTGAATGAATAAATTTTTAGCACTCTTTAATCATCTACCTATGCTGAGGATCTTTATAATACTATGGGAAAGCATCTTGGAGGGTGCCCTGGGCAAGAATCTGGAGACCACAGGGAGCCTCTGCATACTGTCTTCCACATCTCCCCCAAGGCGCAGCAATACCTAAGTAAATCAAATGAACCTTGAAGCCTGCCCAACTAGTTTCCCTTTATTGTTTAAACCATTTGGCTCTATCTTTTACTGCGTGGAACAAAAAAAATCTTAAATTCATACGCTAGATACTTTGGGTGAGCTATTTAACTTCTTTAAACTTTGATTTTATTCTTGGTAAAATAAGACAAATGTGGAGGGACTGGGTATTAATCTTAACTCTGACCGCTGCTAGCTGTATTATCCTCAGCAAGACATTTTACCTTCAGCAAGACATTTCCCTCTCTATGAACTTAATTTGCTCATCTGTAAAGTAGAGATACAAGTGACAAAAACAGGAGCTAATAAGTGTATGCCACACAACAGGCATTATAATGAAAATTATTGTCATTATTATTGCTATTACTCATTAAAAAGCATGACTTTAAAAACATGTAAAGCTTTAAAGTTCCCATAGGTATCTAACGTGAAAAGCAATTTTTACAAATTTCTCAACAAATTTAAACAAATTTTATTAACAATAATGGCTAACACTTTATGAGCACTTAAACACAGTTTTAAACAAGTATAAAACAATGTGATTATAATAATACAACCAGCCATGAAGTGAGTTGTGTGTTGTTATCTCCATTTTGCAGATGAATAAACAGAAGCAAATAGGCGTGAAGTGACACTCTGAGCTGGGATACAAACTCAAGCAGTATGACCACAAAGTCTGTGTCTCTCTTGCATGCATCTGTTACATTAACTTCTTTTTGTACTGAATAGAGTAAGGTGTGTATACATTTAAAAATTAGTTTTCTAGCTCTAAATTATATCTATCCTTGAGCTGGTCTTTACCCATTCTTACTCCCTCCAGACTGAAAATGAGTCAAAGGATTTGGAAACAGACCTATTTCTGCAAAGGAGTCTTTACATACACCGGCATGGAAGACTAAGATAAATATGTTAAGAGCATAAAGGTTACAGAGTAACAATGATAGGAAAAATTTACTCCTTTGTCATATCTTATAAGATGAAAACGTAAGTACCCACCTTATTAGAAGTGGAGACACTGACTAATAATGAGTATTTAAAGATCAAGAAAACCTACACAGCTGTCCCCCAGTATCCATGGGGGACTGGCTCCAGGCCCTTCCTTGGATTACGCTCAAATCCTTGATATGAAATAGCATAGTATTTGCATATAACCTATGCACATCTTTCTGTATACTTCAAATCCTTTCTAAATTACTTGTAATATCTAACACAATGTAAATACCATGAAAATAGTTGTTAAGACTGTATTGTTTAGAAATTATTAAAAAAGTCTACATGTTCAGTGCAGATGCTTTTTTTAAGAAAAATATTTTCAATCTGTGTTTGGTTCAATCCATGAAGTCAGAGGCCTGACTGTACAAGGTTAATGAACATGGGATACTCTAGTCCCTCATACTTCATTCTCTACACACTTGTCAACAAGATTCGATTACAAGGTAAACTGGATCATATTACTACCTGTTCCTCCTCTATTTAAAATCCTACAATCAGAGTAGGCTCCCTACTATGACCCTAAAAACTCTGGCTTCTGCCTACCTCTCCAACTCTTTTATTCATTCATTCATTCATTCATTCATTCATTCATTTAGTGGCAGGGTCTTGCTTGCTCTGTTGCCCAGGCTGGAATGCAGTGGTACCATCAGAGCTCACTGTAGCTCCACCTCCTCGGCTCAAGCAATACTCCTACCGTAGCTTCCTTGGTAGCAATGTATAGGTGGCATGGCATGACACCCAGCTATTTTGTTTAAATATTATTTTGTAGAGACAGAGTCTCATTATGTTGTCCAGGATGATCTCGAACTTCTGGCCTCATGAAATCTTTCTGTCTTGGACTCCAAAAGTGCTGGGATTACATGCATGAGCCACTGTACCCAGCTCTAACTTATTTTCTACCACAGGTACTGTCCCTTCAGACTTACTCTCCTCAGGCCACACTTGCCTTCTTTCCACTCCTAGAACATGCCAAGCTCATTTTTGCTTTAGGACTTTTGTTCTGCTAGCTCTGCCTGGAAGGCTCAGATCCCAGACATTTCCATGGTTGGCTTCTTTTTAAATTCAAAACTCAGCTCAAATCATTCTTGGACTCTCCTCAATCATTCCATAGAAGGAAACCCTACCTCAACCCCAGTTTCTATCCCCTTTCATATTGTATTACCTTTGTAGTGCTTGCCACTATTTAAAATTCAAGTCTTTATTTATTGGCTATGCATTTAGTGCGTCTCCTTCTCAACTGAAATATAAAATCCCTGAAGGCAGGGGTCTTAGTGGTCTTTTTCACCACTCTATCATATCTAGAGCAGTGCCTAGCATATAAAAGGCCTTAGACAAAAAGTGTAGTCCTAATGGCCTGATTAAATTAATACATTTTGATAATTAATGCCAAGGAGGAACCATTCTTTGGAGAAAATTTCTTTATAGTCAACTAATTTTTTTCCATTCAACTTTTCTTTTACTTCTTATAACAAGATATAATTAGAAAAGAAGGGATAACTGATGAATAATCTACTGAGTAAGGTTTTTATTTCGAATTTCATTCCAGGTTAAACTAGACAATTCTTGTCATCTGCTTCACTTGGCAGAAAACTGACCAAAGAAACATTTTCATGACATATTCTTTCAGTAAACAGTTGATTTATCCTAAAATTTAAAAATGCATTCTTAACCATTAAATTGTTAGGCCTTTGATAGTCTTCAGTAAATAAAGCTATTTGAGAGAGTACAGAAATTTCAAATGCTGTAAAATTAAAACTCAATACTTCACACATGTCATTAATCAACTAAACTCTGTATTACTGCTTCACTACCATACCTCTGTGATATTAGGTATGTTATTAACTTCAAATTAAGATAGGCAAATAGGATAGGAAAGTGCTATCTCTAAAACTTCAGGCAATCCAGCTCACTTCTACATAGAAACTGGACTTGCTATTTTTTCCACTGTGTGTGGTAAAATGAAACACAAACAACACAAAGAGGCATAGTTTATGCTTTGTAGAACTACAGATTAAAGAAATGGTATTATTTTGATGAAAATCATAAACAGTGAAAAGGTTTCACTCTACATAGAAGCGTCTAAAACTTTCATTTCTCCTTTTATTTTCTTTTGAATTATCATAATGATAATCAAACTTCTCCACTGTCTGACTCAATATCAGACAAATAGGAAATAGTCAATATACCCTTAGTGAATAACTTAATTTCATGCCTCCATGCACTCATAACCAATCAACACTAGTCAACGTACTGATATCAGGGATATACCAATAATGTTAGAAGATATCTAACAAAGTGGCCCAGGATTACATATTTTCACACATAAGCATTCTTAACTATATATTAAAATTTATCCCCTAAAAAGACGTAAAAGGACAAAAGTTCACTTAATAAAGACACAGTTTCACACCTAACAACCTGATCTAAATGGGCAATACATATTGTGAGATCATATTAAAGTCAATATAATCTGTAACTTATGAATTATACTAAATATCCTAAGAAGTTATAGTAATGTCCAGTGTAGAGGAAAATATCCAAATTATCTTTTAAAAATGGATATAAAATATACAAAGAACGATTTCAAATAAAGTATCACTGATATACCTTTGCTGAACTATCAAGCTCTTATTATCCTAAAATCAGAATGTCTCCATCTGTTAATCTGATATGAACAAGCTGATAAATGAAATCAAAACAACAGTGTATTCTGGCAAAGCCAGAAGCCTCCTGAAAAACTAGAAAAATATGCCCACAACAGATGGGTCATTTAGAAAATAAATACATCAGTCTGTCAAACTGAATACTGTTCTAATTCTCTAAATTAAAATCAGTCAGAGTTCCACTTTCCAAGAGTCTGTGACATTAGAAAGGCCAGAGGGGAAAAACCTAAAGATGCAGCACATATACATATCTGACATGACCTGAAAGTGTCATATCATTAGGTTTCCTGTTAAACATACTAAATTTAGGTAAAGTCCTTACCAGTTAACTTCTTCACAGGTTGGAGCCGAACACTGATAGACTGATGTGTGAGTAAGGGGGAGGATGGAAGAGAGCGAGACATGCCCTCCATAATCCGAATGTGCTGCATACCTTCACTCACTGGAAGTGGTGGAACAGCGTAGTCTGGCTCAAAAGCACAGTCGCTTTCTGTGGAGATGCCACCTGTTAGAAGGGATGGAACAAAAGAACTGGTGAGAAAAGATCCTGCCTTCCCTATTAAAATATATCTTATAGGATGACTCAGAACAACAAATACTGATTTTTCACTGTGAAGTCTTTTTACTATATGCACTAATTTCTACACTTACTGTGTACTCAAGTCCAGGTCTAGAAGTAGGAAACTGAAGATGAGAAAAACAGGGTTCCTTCTTATAAGGTGCTCAATGTCTCATGAGAGATAAAATCATATAAGGAAATATAAATATATATATATATTTCCACATAAGTTGTATAAAGAAATGATCTTATATTTTTTTCCTGATAAGACACACATGAAAGATGTTTATCTGCTTAGCAAGCCATCATGTGCAACTGCTAGTAGGATCACTGTAACTATTTCTTTCTCCCTTCCTCCAAGAAAATATATAAAAATTCAAATGGCATTATTATATAATGATCTTTACTTCTACTTACATGCTACTGACTTCTTCTTCTAGTAGTGGCAGAATTATGTACTTTAGATCAACTTTTTCCAAGGAAAACTGGAACCATAAATATATGGTTAAAAATTATATAAATAGATAGTGTATATATATATATATATAT